CTGCCAGCAGGATGGCATCTGGTTTGGTCTCCAGCGAGTCCTTCAGCTCCCAGACCAGGCTGGCGTGACCCTGCCTGCAGGGCAAGGGGGGGGCGGGAGGATGCAGCCCGGGGGCACCCCGAACCAGCCCTGACTCCGGGGATGGGGACCGGGGGCAGGAGCTGAGCCCTGGCAGCACTCACCACACCAAGGGGTGGTCGAAGGGGTGGATGCTGACCCAGCCCTCGGTCTGTGCCAGCTCCAGGGCTCTCCTGTTGGCTTCATCCCACACCTTGGGGGGGGGAAGGGAGCTCAGCGGGGCCACATCCAGCCCTTGCACCCCGGAGATGAGTGCCTTGTCACCGTGGGGCCAGGGGACACCAGAAACCCACGCAGGGCACTGGGCTGAGGTAGGGGTCCCTGGGGTGACCCTGCCGCAATGCCGGGTGCAGGTGATGCAGGAGGGGGACTTTTTGGGATGGGATTTGCCATGCGCATCCCCGGCATCGCAGAGCGGGCCGAGCTCAGGCTCAGTCCCCTCTGGTCTCCCCAGACCCCAGTTTTAGGGGGCTGCTGCAGGGGTACCTGGCCGGAGACCTCCACCTCCGCCCCCAGCTCCTCCAGCTTGTGCACGGTGGCGGGGCCGGTGGTGCTGGGGACCACGACGGTGACCGGCAACCCCAGCTTCTTGGCCGCGTACGCCGCTGCCAGGCCCGCGTTCCCCCCTGAGGAAAATGGGGGTCAGGCAGGGCTCGGCCCCCCCTGCACCTCCCATATTACTCATGAGCATCCCCCATAGCTCCCCCCGCCTCAGCTCTGGGCCCAATTACCTGAGGAGCAAACGAAGTGGCGGCAGCCCTTCTTGGCAACCTGAAAGGCAGGAGGGAAGGAAGGAAGGAAGAAAGGACAGAAGGAAGGAAGGGGAAAAGGCAGGAGGGAAGGAAGGAAGGAAGAAAGGACAGAAGGAAGGAAGGGGACAGCTGCGTCCCCCCGCCGTGCCCCCCATAAGGGCACAGGCAGCACCCTGCCCACGCAGTGCCTGCGCTCACCTCCTGGCAGAGGTGGCCGATGCCTCGGATCTTGAAGGAGCCTGTGGGCTGTACGTTTTCCAGCTTCATGTAGACCTTGGTGCCCGCTGCCTGGGACAGGGGCAGGCTCTCCAGGACGGGCGAGATGATGTGGAAGGGCTTCTTGCCCCCGCCGGGCTGGGCTGCCATGGCCCCGGCGATGGATGGTCTGCCAGGGAGAGGTGGGGGAGGCACCC